TGTCAACAGCTTTATCTTACTTGGATCCACAATTAACAACCATGGTACCAGCAGTCAGCAAATAAGGAGATGCACTGTACTGTGAAAATCTGCAATTAGGAACCTCTCCAAGTTATCAAGGAGTAATGATGTCAGTTTGAGGATTAAGGTACATCTGACTTGGGCCACAGTCCTTCCCATCCCTTGGTATGCATCTGAGAGCTGGACAATGCATAGGGATGATAGAAGAAGAACTGACGCCTTTGAGCTGTAGTGTTGGAGAAGAGCATTGAACATCCAATGGACGGCCAAGAGAACAAACAGGCACGTCTTGGAGAAGATGCAGCTGGATTAGTCTTCGGAGGCAAGAATGATGAGGCTTCGCTTCACATACTTTGGGCCTGTTGGACATGATACTGGGAAGGGTGGAGGGTCAGTGAAGGAGAGGAAGACCCTCAACTAGTTGAATTGACACAGTGACTACTGCAATGGGCTCATCTGTCAGGAAGTGTGAGGATGGTGCAGGACAGAGTAGGGTTCAGATCTTTTGTTCACAGGGTCTCTATGAGTCATACTGGACTTGAGGGCACCTAACAACACAACAAAATAGGGAGGGGTTAGGACTTCAAAACATGTTTAACCCTCTGCTGTCCAATCCATTCTAACTCTTGGCTATGCATCCTTAGAAGAGGAAATTGTTCAACTTTCTCACAATGGGAAGCTGGTGGATTCTAATTTCTAGCCAATATCACATATTTCACAGTTTCACATCTATTTCGCAAACTATCGGAGCTCCTGAAGATATATTTGGGAGGATACAATTCAATCTAATCTGGGAGATCACGGAGGAACATTTCAGGGCCTAAGGGCACCAGGCTAGGTCCCCAGAACTCACCTAGACCCTGTCCCCAACTACAAAACACCCCCACAGAGGAAAACCAAGCTCTTTCTGTGTTAAAGAGGAACAAAAAGCAAAACCACAAACAAACCAGAACAAAGCTACCTGGATAAGTGGTTCTAAAGCTGTACTCCTTTACCTTTCATTTAAGAAGGGCGTGGAAATGAGACATCATCTTGTCCTCACTACACGTAATTCATCCTCATTCAGATGATTTGACAGTTAGCAAACATCTAAAAACAGGGGAGGAAATGGCCTCAAAATGCTAAATGAAAACTGAACTGTTGAAATAATTCTTGTGCAAGAACATTGTGGTTTTCAATTAATAAGACAGTGGTTTAATTGGAGGGAAATTTGTCCCTAGAGGAAATGTGACAGAATCTGTATCCGATTTTAGTTATCAAGCATTGAAATGGGAAGCTTCGAGAATCTGGGGTGTAGACGTCGGCAACGCTGTGAAACATTCACAATATATAGGTCAGTCCCCCACAATGAGGGACTGTCTGGTCCAGAGGTCAGCAAGGGAAGCCCTGGCTGGCATATACATGAAAGTGTTTTAATGGTATCCAAAAGGTTGGCAGTTGGAATCCACCCAGAGGTGTCTCAGGAGACAGGCCTGGAGATCTGCTTGTAAAAGGTCACAGCCTTGAATACCTTAGAGTCCTTCCCTGAACATACAGGGTCACCACAAGTCAAACCAATGCAAGGCCAACGGCAGCCACAAACAGCAACAGCTTAGCAGTTGGCCCAAATATCAACAGGACCAAGGCTGAGACGCCCAACTACGAGATACGAAAGAACCTTTCAAAAGGAAACTGAATTCTGCCATCAGCTGAGAAACAAGACCCTCGGAGAAATGCCTTGTTGAAAAAGTGTAGCCGGTGTCCTGCTTCCTACTGTGGATTCCAAATAGTGGCGTGTGAAAAGGGATAGTAAATGGGGTAAACGAGAAAAACAGTGTTCATTAAAGAAGAGTCACCATCAAGTGGAGAAGATGCTGGCCAGCCTGCCCTGGCCTTCAGCCTTCACCTCCCATTACACCGCATTGCCTGCGGATCGGGCCGTGCCAGCTGGCCGGGAGAACCCAGCCTCCTCAACAAGCAGATTCATCAACTCGTAAAGCTCCCATTCTTCCAAATCCTTTCTAAGACAATACACGAAATCCATTTGCTCCTGATTTTACTTGAAGATGAGTCACACAAGACACCCGCTACAGCTTGATTTCAGGCTTTTTTGAACATCGAGCACGCTATTGAAAAAAAAATTACAGGATAGAAAAAGCAGACAAAAGGCCCTAAAAAGACTCTGAATCATTCTAATTTTTATGGGGAGTTGGGGGAGGCACAGCCAGTTTAACCAATTCACATCACTTTGCTTTGGAAAAATAAACAGATATATCATGCTTGACAATTTTATACCGTGTTTCACTTTCTGGAATTAAAATAGTTGTAGGTAAAGACTTGGAAAAATAGAAAAGTCGCACGATGAGATAGTACTTCTATTAGTACTTCTATTACTATTCAAGGAAAATTACTGAATGGCGTTTCTCCCAGCTGCCACTCATTTCCCCGACTCACCCCTGAATCTTGTACCTATATATGAACAGAATCAAGAGAAAGACTGAGTTACTCCCATAGTGGAGTCCCTGAGTGATGCACACAGGTAACTGTGCCCAGCTGCTAACTGGAGGTTGATAGTTCAAGTCTAACCATAGGCATCATTGAAGAAGCGATCATCTGGTGATCAACTTTTCAAAAATCCAAACATCAACCCTTGAAAGTCCTATGGACCACGGTTCTACCCCAGGGTCACCAGGCATCAGTCTTTTCTGCATCAACTGGTCTTCTCATCCCTACGTTGCCACAGGAACCAGGTGTAGTCAGCCAACCTTGTGCATCAACATTTCACATCCACAAAGGCGCTGCTCCAAGAGCATATGGGAATTTCAGAGTATTTTTTAATGAGGTTTAAATTTTTTATCACTAACGGCAATTTCTAAATGGAACTTTGATTTCACCATCACCCTGAGGTCTTTATTACTACATGAGAAAAGAGGTTGAGGAAGAACCATTATCCTCTCCCTTAGAACAAGCAAGTCACCAACAGATGTAACAGTTCATAACAGAACTATACACAGAATTTAGACAGTATCTGCTTTGAAACCTCATTAATGAGGACTTTGGTCATTTGTAATTCATGATCATTTAAATAGTCTGTGCTGAAGTTGGACTCTGCCAAAGCAAAGTTTTCCAAAAAAATGAGAATGACTATGGCTGTCAACAAGATGATGAAGTGAAACAAGTGTCCATCAGGCAGAAGGCGTCCTAGTGGTGCAATGGTCAAGCACTTGGCTACTAGCCCAAAGTCAACAGGTAAAAAGACCTGGTGATCTGCTTCCAGAAAGATTACACCCCAGGACATTCTCCACAGCCTTTCTCCTCCAATCTCTAGGAGGTCTGTAGTCAACTTGACAACATACCAAAATTACCAGTTATATGTGTTCATCAAATTCTTTGTCTCCATTTGTTAAATCAAACTCAAACTCATTGCCATTGAGTTGGAACCAACTCATAGCTGACCTTCCAGCAGGTTTTCAGAGGCTGAAAATTGCCTGGGAGGAGACTGTTCATCTTTTTCCCTTGGAGTCACTGATGGATTTGAACCCTCAAAGAGGTGCTACCTTTGGATTAGGAATGTAATCCCCTAAAAACCACACGACCAGAGCTCTTTCACTTGGTAAGTGCTGTTGTTGTTTTGTTCTATCAAGTTGGAAACAAGTCACAGCTAATCCTCCAGTGAGTTCTTAGACACAGTAAATTTCACGGGAGGTTTCCCATCTTTCTCCTGCATAGCAGCTGGTGGATTTGAACCATGTGCCTTTGGATTGGCAGTACAACTCCCTACCACTAAACCACCAGAGCTCCCTTATTTGATAAGTTGTTGTTATTATTGTTGTTGTTGTGTGCCTTTGAGTCAGAATCAACTCAAAGTTGACCCTCCAGAGGGTTTTTAGAGGTAGTGAATCACACTGGAGGAGACTGCTCATCCTTCTAGTGGACTTGAACCATGTACCTTTGGGATTGTAGCACAACTCCTTACCAAATAAATTCTCTAAAACTGTCTCAGGTACCAAAGTATTGCAAAGAGGAAAAAAGAAGCAAGGAGGAGAGATAAGAGAAATGACAGTGACCATAGTTCATGTTCATTACTGATCTTCATCAGACAGGATCTAAAGGACGTTCATTACAAACATGTTTTCCTATAGTAGTCCCAAAAAACAAATAACTTAGTAAAACAGAAACAGTCACAATTCCCTACACTCTGCTCTGCAATTCCAAAATCCAAAAGGCTCAAAATTGCCAGGTTGTATTTTTCTAGACTAGTAACACTTATAGACAAAGCTTGACCTGACCTGAGCTGTGCTGGCAGCAGGTAAACCCTGAGCTGAGATCACATGCGGCTATTTATAGTCTTCCTTTATCCCACCAGGTGGAGTTCCTGACAGATTCTGCTGCAGACATATGAGGGTGCTCGATGACGGAGTGCCACTCCAGGTCCTGTTGAGGGCAGCTGTGTCACCTAGTCTTCTGTGGACTGTATTACTTTCCTACGCCTTGGTGACGTCTGAACTTCAAGGTTGAAGAGAAGGGATGGTGGCCTCTCACAGCTGAAGAGGACACACGAGCTCAGGAAGCTGCTCACGGTCACCTTGAGCAATCAAGTCAACAACAGAGGAAAGGCTAGAGAGCTAGAAAGATGAGCTCTAGAGCCCACATTTGTAGTTATCTGTCACCTTTGTAACTGGCTAACCGCCCATATCCTCAGCTCAAACTCTTTGCCATCAATTGGGTCCTCAAGAGGAGAGAAGATAGTGTCCATCTTTCTCCTGTAGAGACACTGGTGGATTTGAACTTCCAGAGAGACGTGGCCTTTGAGTTAGCAGCACAACTGCCTACTGATGAAGCCACAAGGGCTCACATATACCACACTGTCTGTATTTGGAAAGAATAAAACCATTTTAAAATCAGACATTTTACTGATTGAGATACATCATTCATTGGCTCTACTCAAATGAGTAAGATTTTACTGTGTTTAAGTCTATAAACAACCAGCATACGCTCACCTTTTTCCTCTTCTCTTCCTGGGCACTCATGTCTCGAATCCTCTCCAGAATGGCAGCTTCCGTGGCCCCGGTCACGCCCCAGCTGCCCTGAAGGAGGCCTGTGATCTCCTGTCTGAATGAGTCATACTGGCTTTGCGAGGCTGCGGCTTTGTCCAGACTGGCCTTCAAACTCTTCTCCAGCTCAGAAGAGCTTTTCTTCAGGTGGTTCATCTCCTGCTTCAAGGCATCCCAGACCCGCTGGCCAGCAAGCAGTCTTTCTTGGAAGACCTTAGCTTCCTTCTCAAGTGTGTCTTTTGCTTCAACAGCCCTGAGCAAGTCCTAACGCAAACACAGACATTAAAGGTGATAGTATTAGCAATCAAGGAGCACATATGCATTTGTGATAGCAATTTCTGTACCTTGTTTCCTGATTACTTCAAGAAGGAGGGTCACATTCTTATTCTATTCTTAATTCTAAGTTCCCTGTTTTCTCCTCATAATTTTAAAGACTATATTTTGATTCCCATTGCTGTCAAGTGGGTTTCCAGTCATGGCAACCCTTGATTGGATTTCCATGGCTGCAAAACTTTCTGAAACAAGACTGCCCATCTTTCTCCCTCGGAGTGGCTAGTAGATTCAAACTGTTGGTTAGTTAGTTAGTTAGCAACCCAGTGTGTTATACATTATGCCACAAGGGTTCTCCTGATTCAAACGCAAACTCATTTGAACTGCCAGAGAGACACCACCTTTGAGTTAACAGTGCAACGCCCTATGGACCACTGCTAAAATTATTGTTATTCCTGTTGCTAGTGCTACTGAGGGAGAGCTGACGAATGCTGACTCTCCAGCAAGTTCTCAGAGGTTATGAGCGACATAGGAGGAGACTGCCCATCTTTCTCCCTTGAAGCAGCTGATGCATTTAAACTACTGGCCTTTGGGCTGTCAGCAAAGCTCTTTACCAGTAGACCACAGTGAAAAAGAATGGAGATTTAAGGAAGATTGCCCGAGCACCTATGTCTGTTTACCATAAATAATCTAGAAAGATCCAGAGAGACATGTTTTCAAATCCATTAAAAAGGCAAATGTTTAGATAAGAAAGCTTATTTATGAGTATAAGGATGGGGCAAGAAGGAGGTGGAAAGGGTGGGGAGGAATCTAACGGCAATGGTACCAGGAGTTAGGGGATCAAGAAACATTGCACCTGGTAAGTCTGCAGTCTGGGACCTCTCCCAATTACTGAGGAGCAATGATGTCAGTTAGAGGACTAATGTGTACTTGATTTAGGCCCTGGTCTTTTCAGTCACTTGCTATGCATCGAAGAGCTGAACAATGAATAAGGATAACCGAAGAAGAGTTAATGACTTTGAACTGTGGTGTTAGAAAAGAATGCTGAAGATCCTGTGGATTGCCAGAAGAACAGATATGTCTTGGAGAAGGTACAGGCAGAGTGCTCCTGGGAGGCAAAGATGATGAGCCTTTGTCTCACTTATTTTAGACATGTTGCTAGGAGAGATTATTCGTTGGAGAGGGACCTCATTCATGGAAAGGGGGAGGGTTGGCAAATGAGAGGAAGATCTTCAACCGGATGGATTGATGCAGTGACTACAGCAATGGGCTTGAGCACATCAGAGACTGTAAGAATGGTGTAGGAGACGACAGGGTTCGGACCTGTTGTTCATAGATCACTATGAGTGGTACTGGACAAGAAGGCACCTAAAACAACAGCAATGGAAATAAAGCACTATTAACATGTGCTATTAAATATAGCACAGAGTTCCACTGTCAATTAATGTAATTGCTGTCAATAAATTGCACACATGTAGAAAGATGAGTTGGCAAAAGTTCTGTGATAGATATATTAACAACAATGGGGGGAAAAGCCTTCTGAAGCAGTCATGGTATAACAAAAAAAATCTCACGAGACATGGTTTCTTGATTTGGACATTTAGTGTCATGGTTTCCTGGGACACCCCAGTTAATTGTTCCAGCAATGGGGTTTTTTAAACTCTTTTATTATTATTATTATTATTATTATTAATTTCAATGAACATCTACAGAGATTTTGGAATTCCAGTCATTCACTGTTGCACTTTTCTCCCCTCTAGCAATGTTTTTAGAGGATCTGCTCTACCTCCTAGTTCATTGCATAGCACCTGAAAGCTTGCAATGAAAATCCAAGACATATGTTTGTCCTTTTGGCCGTCCATGGGATGTTCAGCACCCAAAACTGCTATGATATTGCTTCCTCATTCATAGGTAAAAAGTATTTTGCTCTTTATTAAAAATAGTATGCTGTAGATAAAAAGTCCTGGGAAGAAAAGAACTTATCTTTGAATAATAGACTTTCCCTCTGAACTGGCCAGTATTCAAACTGCTAATTCACATTGACAGGAAATGTAAAAAAAAAAAACAAAACAAACCCAAGTCTTAAACTCACTGCATTCTAGCTGGTTCCCGTCAATAACCCTCCCACAGGTCTCCAAGGCTGTAAATCACAATAGAAGGAGATTGGTTGTCTTTCTCTCTGCAATTATCCCACCAGGACTTCCTATACACTAGAAAACTACTAACAACAAAAGGAATTAAAATGTAATCCTCTCCTTTACATGGGAACTGAAGAGGGGGAAACATTAGATGAAACACTAGATTTTAGTTTGAATGCTAAAAAAAATGTCTTAATATTGTTCCCTTTATGACAGTTTTCTTTTTAAAAACAACGTTGTGGCAGACGTCAGATTGAAAGAAAAGCCAGAGAGTGTACAAGTCAAAGAGAAGCCTGGAAACCCAACCAGTTAAAGAGAATCTGCTTTAGGAAACATCCTGCTTCAGGATCCTGATAGCAACTTAACGTCCCCCTTCCCTTTTCTAGAAATCTCCCTGTGGAGAAGCCACTGCAGGTGCTAATTAAATTGTGGCTTTTATGCACAGGGTCTAGGGCATGTTGTGAATGTTATGTTTCTGCACTTCACAGATTTCTTTTAGGATAGTAATGCAATGCCTGTTCAATTGTGGTAGTCAGTATCTGCATCAGTGATGCTAAATTGAGACCACATCTCACTGAGAAATTAGAAAAACAAGGTCGTAAATTAGATGGCAAGTCCATGGCCACTGACTCAGATGTGACTCATCACCGAGGACAGAGCAGAACCTCCCAGCTGGATTTCCCAGGCTGTGAATCTCCACCAAAGTGACTGGCCTCGTCTTTCTCCCACAGAGCAGCGGCTGTGTTCAAACTGCTTCCCTTTCAGTTAGCAGCACAGCCCTTAATCACTGCGCCACCGAGGCCCCTCAAAATTAGATAATACCGAGATAAAAATCCATCCTAATGATCCCAAAGTTAAAAAAACCAGCACAGTATCATAGGTTAACTTTTAGTTTCCCTTTTGGAATTTTAAAAATAGGTTTACAAACAATTATTAATATACATTGTGTTCCATTCATGTACATTATATTTAATAAAACCGTGCATATACATTATGTTTTATATAACTACGAGTACAGGTCAATGTCTTTTATAACCCCATCTCATTGAGTCTTCGTTATCTCTCTCTTCACCTCTCATCCATCCATCCATCCACTAATCTCTCCTGCCCCAGCGCTTCCCCTCCCTCTCTTCTTTTTTTTTAATTTCTTTTTTCCTCTCTTCTTTTGAACAGCTGTACATATCCTGTTTCTATTTACTAATAACTTTTAGCTTGAAAGAAAAAAAATCTTAACACAAAAGGAGGATGCTTCCAGGAGCAAGAAAGTGATTCTTAAGTACTCACCAGAGGCTCTCAAGGTACCAGGACTGTATAAGGAGTGTGGTGCTCTGGACTCTCAGCTTGAAGCAGATCCATCTACTCTATCTTACACTGAGAACACAAACATTCCAACTCCAGGACATTCTTCCCCTTGGGTATGCTATTATTGTTTGTCTTCAGTACAAGAGCCAAAATGATTCCTCTTAGCACATTCAAAGCACACACATCACTCTCTCCCCTTTCTTTTAACTTAAATACTAAATTGGAAGACACACAGATAGCATGATCCTAAAAAACACTGTCTCCCATACTTTGGACATATTCTCAGGAAGACCCAGCCCCTTATAAAAGACTTCAAGGTTTGAAGAGTAAAGGGTCAGAGAAACAAAGGAAGACCCTTCACACAGATAGCATGATCCTAAAAAACATTGTCTCCCATACTTTGGACATATTCTCAGAAAGACCCAGCCCCTCATAAAAGACTTCAAGGTTAGAAGAGTAAAGGGTCAGAGAAACAAAGGAAGACCCTGAAGGAGGCAGATTGACACAGTGACTATAACAATGGGCTCCAGAGAAGCAGAAATTGTGAGGATAGAGAGGAACCGGGCAGGACTCTGTGGGGTTTTGCAGTCACACGTGGGATCACCAGGAGTCTGGACGGACTCCGAGGCATCTAACCAACAAACAACAACCAGCACTAACGATTACGTCCCGTGAAAGTTAGAAAAGTGCTTGTTCATCACAGGATCCAGTGGCTCGTGCTTTCACATCTTGTTTTGTTTTTCTGGTCACCTGTTAGTCCAGGGGACAGTAATTTGTCTGTTATGAACAAAGTGAGGGCTGAGAGCCCACGACAAAGCCTCTAGGGCTGCTGCCCTGCTCCCCCTTCCCCACCAGCATCAGGGTAAGGGCTTCAGTACTCAGGGGCTGATGTTCTGGAAACAGATGTCATCAGAGTGCAAATGAAATTACCTGCACAGCCCTCAGGGTCAAGGCACTGGAGTCTGGTCGCATAGCTACCTCAAGGCTAAGCTGAAGCACCCAGCATAAAGCACCGTGACATTGGATCTTTGGCCAGGGCCGGGACTGCAGTCAGACCACACTGACATACGGACAAGGAGCTCACTCCAAAGAAACCTCGGTGCTGACCTCCAGGGAGGAAATCGCATTTGTTCACAAGGACAGGCCCTCTCAACAGCGGCCGGGATCACTTTAAAACAATTTTTTTAGTTTTAAAAAATATTTCTATTCAGTTCTGCCAGTGCAACAAATTAATAATAAATACCCCCTTCACAATGACTCTCAATGAAAATATTTACCAAGACTCTGACAGAGACATCCCATTTAGATTCCCAATTAAATTCAGTAGGAAGCAATCAAACCTTTGAGAGCCTGTGCCTTTAAAACAAAATAGATTGCTATTACAACCTTGCTAACTGCTGAATAGATGTGGATATTTGTGAGATGAAGTGACCTTTCAAAAATATAATGACTACTTATAGTCAGGGCTGATAACCTCTGGCTTAAGCTTAATTCCTCTGACCTTATGCAAATTTTATAAAAATTAAAAATTAATTCTTTCATTTATGTAGCTCT